TGTCTGAAAGCCGGCGGTGGCGTGCCGGTGGGTGAAAGAAGCGCTGGAGGTGGAGATGGGGTGGCTCTCCCGCCAGACTGCCCCTTCTTCTTTGTAATAAGGTGGCCGAAGTAAACCTTCGTGCCCTCCTCGTAAGTTGAGGAGGGGGAAAAACCTGAAGAACTTGCCCTTCGGAGGGCTCTGCAGCGTGTTCAGCTGGCTGGCGTGGAAGCGTCTGCAAACCAGCTGTTGAGCTCTCGCGCTAAGAGGTGAGCCGCGACTTTGCCTATCTAGGAGTTACCGTGACCCCGGGAGCCGCACAAAATTCGAATGCGACAGAGCAAGTGGGAGCTGAGATTAAGATCTGCGATCGCTTGTGCCTTTTTGAAGTCATTTGTTTAAAAAACACCCAATGATTAACATCTTGTTCTGCAAAGGGGTAAATCAGCATGGCAGAACAATGCTAGGAAGTTTGGTAGTGAACTTGGTAATTTGTTTAAACCACCAGTTCCTAAAAAAAGAAGTTGAACGGAGTTTGAACCTCAGAACGAAGAATGTTCTCTTTGCTTTACGTGAACCTGTTGAGAGTTGCTGAGGACGCTGGGGGATGCCCTGATACCGACTGCGCCAGGGCACGGGCGGAGCGAGCTGTGGAAGTCCTGCTCCACGAACGGCTCCCGATGTACTCTTCCAGGCTTAACTAGCATGACTGAGTGTTGTGAGAGACAGGTGGCTGCTGTGTGTCTGCCTTGGACTGCAAAAAGAGGAAAATTGAACTCATGCGTCACATTTTTCCTGGCTGCAGCGAACTCGAGGGAACTCCCTTAACAGGCGAAAGCGTGGCTGAAAATATGTGAGGGAGTCTAAAGGTGATAAGGGACAGCAATAAGATTGTGTGAAATGATTTCCCATCTTGTGCTTGTCTTTTCTTTCTCCCTCCGTTTCTTTCCTTTTCAGTGTGGCATTGTCCTGGGAGCTCTGCTGTTGATTTTCTGTTCTTGGATGACTCATCAATCCTGCATGTTCCTGGTGAAATCGGCCAATCTCAGCAAGCGCAGAACCTACCCTGGCCTTGGTGAGAATGTTCAGCTCTGAGGGTTTTTTTTAAAACTGCGGTTTTACTTTGACCTCTTAATTTACAACTTTCATACTGATATTGTTGGAATATAAAATGGTTTCTTGATGTAGTTTTCAGTTTGTGTTTTGTTCCTCTGTCAGTCTCTTCCCCGGCTCCGTGGCCCCAGGGGAATATGAGGATTTAATTCTGCTCTTGACAGTGAAGTTAATAGGCACAGAATTGTTTTGACTCTGCAGGGCAGGGGAGGAGATGCAGTGCTGACTGATCAAAACCCAAGTTTTCAGGAGCTGGCGTAGTGGGTGTCTGGTGTAAATTATTGGTCTCAGCACGAAAGCCACGAGCTTCCCCACCCAGTGTGCTGCCGAGGACATTGGGTTCTGCCAGGAGAGAGCCTGGCATGGAGCTTGGGCTGCCTGGATCTGAGCTATATGTGCATTTATGGCAGAGCAGGGGGAGCGGAGAGGAAACGGCGTGCAAGATTCCAAGTGGCCAAGAAAATAAAAACATCTGCAAGATTCATGTGTGGGTTTTTGGCAGGGTCTGCCAGCCCTCTTCCTCAGAGTTCGTCTCCCTTGCGCTGGCGCCAGCGTTGGTCTCTGTTTATGACCTTTCATCTGATTCTGACTGACTTGGGGGGCAGGAGAGGACAGCTGGGTTTGAGTCGTCTCGATTGGCATGTGAAACGAAGGGCTGCCAATCAGAAAAGTATCCTCTTACGAGGATTCTCTTGCTTCTTTTGGGGAGTAGAGGGTTGGCTGGCATCGCTGTTGGTAAAAGACATAGCGAAATGTATGGCTCGCTTGGTGACTGTGCTGTTGACAGATGGATCTCCTCAGTACTCAGAGTGCCCAAGGTACTGTTACTGAGCTGCACAGTTTAGCTTCTGGCAAAATATATCTGCCAGAAACTGAAAAGATTAAAAAGTTGTGTGGTCTCAAAGGCTGTGCCTGATACTGGAAGGAAAGCTCAATTAGCATGGAGCCCTCAGGTAGCATCTGACTTGGCCCAGCCACTCCCATACCAGCTGCTTGGATTGCCTCTCCCTGCCTCCTTACAACAAGTCTTTGTGTGCTGCTTCCCCTTTGCCGAAGTACAGAGAGTCCCCTTCACCTTGGAGCATCTCCCAGGAAGAAGGGCTCCTCCGCACTCTCTGAAGCCAAGGGGCTCGAATACACAGAGGGCCAGTAATGCTTCTAAACTTCCTGGCACCTCCTGGCATACAAACGCTGGCACTGAAAGAAATGCATCCCCTTCCTCCCTCCCTTTGCCCTGGGAGAGGTGCCACCGGGAGCAGCCAGAGGAGGGACAGCGCTGAGAGGAAAGGCAGCGCTCCTACAATGCATCCTAATGCATCAAGGTTGAGCAGCTCCACACAGACAGCCTTTGTCACCGTGTGCTTGTGCTCTGGTACATCTGCGAGAGATCCTGGCAGCCCCTGCAGCTGATTCTGTGGGAGGCTTTGGCAGCGCTGAAAGATGTAAGAAAGTTTTGCAAATTAACTTCAGTCAGCCAGTCTCTTCCGGAGGAACATTGAGAGCAGTCGTTACAACTACAAAAGAGCCAGAATCGTAGCAGGATAATATCTAGCCCAGACATCATCTCTCTGCAGCACCCTATGCATAAAGGGATTGGTTATTAAAAATATTTTACCCTTCAACACCTTTCAGCTGCACTGTGTGGAAAGGAAGGGTCTTGGACAGATGTGTGAACAGGCGGGGAAATGGGTGCGATTCTGAGATGGAATTTAACCAGGAGATGAGTTAATCCCCCCCCTTACAGCTGCTGAAAGTGGCCTGGGCCTTTGCAGACTATTTGTGTTCGGTACTGACCCTGTCAGCAGTATGCTACACCCCCCTGGGGAAGCAGTTTGGCTCAGCTTCCTGCAGAGAAAAGAGCTGAAACACAGGTTGCCTGTTGTAGTAACCACGTTTGGTTTAAAAGGGCATCTCTAATTACTGAGCCGATTCAGCTCTACCCAGCTTGTTAGGCATCTAGAAATCCCGTTCCAAAGACGTTTGACTGTACAATATATTTTATAGCCATCGTCTCCTTCCTCCTTGAGAAGATAAAGGATCCAATTTTTCTAGTGTCCCCAGATGGGGACATCTGGCATAATGTTTGAAGGTTTGTTCTCATTAGAACATCATTTCAGAATAGCCAAGGAGACTGATTGTTTCTCAGAATCTCAAGCCTAGACTATAGCCGGCAGCTGTAGTTATTATCTGGAGATACCCACATTTCTATGTGATGTAAAAACGGAGCTCATAGGAACAATGCAATAGCAATAGTCCTTCTGGAGATTGCTTCATTAATGAACCAGTCTCCAGGAGGGATATTTTTCCTCTTGCTGGTTCCTCTTTCTTTCATACCTAGCCCTTTGATACCGGCTATCTGACTGAACCACTCAAGGGCTATTTCCTTTTTCTGTTATTGCTGAAAGTTCCCAAACAAGATGAGAGCTGGAGACTGAAGTGGTGCAGCCTCTCTTCACACTCGGGCAGTGTGTGTGGTTGCGACAGCGTTCCACCCTGTCTGTCACCAAGCCATTGTATGTTTTCAGCGCTACCCCACGTAACAGTTCCATTTTGTTCTGCTGGGGGTCTCTTACCATGCTTTTTTCTCATTCTATGGGGGAACCTCCTGTTTCCTTAATTTCTAGCTTTAGTAGAGTCCACAGAAATCAGTATTTGTAAGTTAATATTTAAAATAATGGAAGATACTTCCAGAAGAGAATGCAGTTTGTTTCCTGGCTGCCTCCGGTAATGTGTACCGTACCTTGCGAGAACATGAAGGGGGGGGAATCCAGGGTGGTGTTTGTTTTTGTGTTGGTCCTCTGCATTTAACACTGGCAGAATCGGTGTGGTCTGTATTTGGAACTGGAGGTCTTAATTCCCATTCTCCCCAGTAAGATGGATCTAAAAATACAAGCAGAGTTTTCTTGGCATTTTCTTTTTGTGAAAAAAAAACCCGATGATTTAAAGACTACTGATCATTTTCTGCTACAAGCTACAACCAAAGTATGGAAAAAAAATGTCTCTTGGCAGCAACCCTTTGGTGTGGGTTGTGAGTACTGGGTATTCTGGGTATGGAATTGAACATTCTGGGCACCATCTCAGATCTCCCATCCAGCAACATCAGGCAGTTCAGTTATAGTGGGAAGATAAAAATAAAAATGAGAGCTTGATTGAAATTTTGCACTGCAGTAACTTTTTGCCACACAACATCTTATACATGCATATTTTCTCTTCTGCGCTGACTTTCTTTTAATGGTTACCATGTGTGACTGCTACTTCACACTACTTTTTTTTTTTTTTTAATGAAGTAGAAAAAAAAGAACCTGCTTTGTATCTTTCCCTCATCTTTGTTCTCGTCTTATGTGGCTTTCAATTTGTGGAGGGCATGTCTGAAAAAGAAAATGGGAGGGTGGGGAAGGGAATCCAGCCCCAAAATACAACACCAGTGGGTTCCCGCTGAATTGCCGTTGTCGCTATTATTATTTAATTTCTGACTGATGTCTGTGCCACGTTCTGGACCTTTCTTTCACTGACTGTAATTTTTTTTTTCTTTTATGCCAGCATTTCACGCCTATGGAAAAGCAGGAAAAATGTTGGTGGAAACAAGGTAATATGCTACTTTTTAAAGTTTGAGTAGTTTGGTTTTCTTTAATGAAAGACACTGGTCTGTAGCCTCTTGTGGCCTTGCTGTGCTCTGATTTCTTACGCTCCTCTCTTCTCTGGTCCCAAGAGCCTTCCTTGCTACTTGGACTTTGAACAAAGAAAGGGAGTGAGATCGCCCAAGTGTAGCTTGCATGTTTTGCCTTCAGCACATCCCACTCATTTCTAAGTGGAGGCAGGAGTGCTTTCTACATAGTGGGAGCACAGAAGTCAGGGAATAAACTCGGATCTCTTACTCTGCTGTGTGCACTCTGAGATCGTGGGTACGTAATCTGTGGCCTCTTTCCAGAGGTGAAATGCCTGCCAAGATCGCCGTGAGTTAGTGGGAGAGGGTGTGTTCAGTACCTCTGATCCACCCGTTAGCGTCTCTGGTTTTGCATGCTCCTCACAGGGGGTCTTGCCTTGCTCTGTAAGACGCTAGGCTGTAGGAAATGCCTTGTGGGGAGGCATCCAAACTCTGTTTCAAGATAGGAGGTTTCTAGCTTGGCAACTGCCAGACTCTTGTTCCTCAGACAACCCCAATGCAAGTAGAAAAGCCCTAGCAGGTCTCGTTCAGCAGCCTGCTTGGCGATGGGGCACCATTGCAGCTCTGCTTTTTCCAGCAGAGATTCTGTGGTGGAGGCTTCTCGAGCCCTGGCCGGTGAGTGGTGGGTGCTGGCGCGCTCGCTGTTCCCAGCTGCAAACTGCTGCAGAACGCCAAAAATACACAGAATATTTCTCAACTGTTACTTGTCCATGCAAGCAATTGCTGTAATTGCCACAGGGATGTTATATAATTGGAAATGGGAGGGAAAGTGGTCCATGCAGTCATGAATGGGAGGAGAAGCAGTTCATAAAACAGTCTTTTTATTGACGTGTGGTTCGTTTTGTGGAAAGAAGTTTGAGAGCTGATTTGGTATTGAGACTTTGATGGTAGACCCTCACTGCTGGAGGTGGGGCTAAGAGACTTCTGGCTGATTCTCTTTGATGTTTTTCTGAGGGGAAAAAAGGAGTTCTTGCCATCTCTAAGGTCTGTTTCTTCTGTGTCTCCAAACAGCAGTTAAACTACATCTCTAGCAAAGGTGTTACATGTGGATGTGAGGTGGATGGCACTTCCTTGGCTTTTATTTGTTAGGATTGAGTGCAGAACTGGAGGCCTTCCTTTCGTAAGCCGGAGAATAAAAGCGTGGTCCTCCGCTGTAGCCGAGTAGGGCTCTGTTCTGATGCACAGCCCGCTCCTACGGCTGCGAGAACAGGCTCGCAGCCCCAGTGTATCCCTGTAAACAGAGAACCTTCTTCATTACTGGCTGCCAAACACGTTTTCAGCGTGGACGCTCAGTGTGGGTTCCCCAAAACTTGGGGCTCGTCTTCGCCATGACGTGCCAGAAAGTTGTGTTGAATTAGAGGGTAGATGTGCTTGCTCAGAAGCAAGGCCGGCTGAGGCTGCTTTACTTCTGAACGCAAGCGAGCAAGTGACAGCACAAAGTTTTAAGTCACTTTAAACGTACCCTATTAGCTGTTTCAGTTTAACTTTTTTGAATGTTCCTAGGTGAATCCTAGGGATATTGCAATAGGATTCTAGGTGATCTCCAGATGTTCCAGCTGAGTGTGCAGCGTAGCCCTTGCGATCTTATCTGTGATAAAACTTTGTTTTAATTTGCCAGTGACTGTAGCAGCGGGGGCTCTAGTGCAGACATGAGGTCTGTCCCTCCCAGCGTCTGAACTGCAGCCGCCCCCCGAGCGGGGTATGTAGTGCTATTCTTACTGCCAACGTGCAGCCAGCATTGGGGTTCCTGTAACCACAGCCTTATTTATGGCAGTTACAGGCAATGTCTCGAGATGTCTCTAAAGTAGTTTTGGCGTTAACAAAGCCTTGTCTTGTAGTGAGAGCTACAGACTATGAATCTGCTGGAAATGTGGCTGTCATCACACACCTGCCCAGGAGCAAAAGCTGCACTCCAGAGTCCCTGCTTCATCTTCCTAATTTCTGTGTGTTTTTGTTGTTTTTGCAGCATGATTGGGCTGATGTTAGGAACTTGCATTGCTTTCTATGTTGTGATTGGTGATTTGGGGTCCAACTTCTTTGCTCGGCTGCTTGGATTTCAGGTAAATGAATCCTCACTGTATTACATCAATGCAGACAGAGTTATCCAAATTCTTCTAGTAAGTATATTGAGCTGTGCATGCTTTAGCTACAGCAAAGAGTGTCCTACCTTAATAGTGTGTTCAGGAAGCCACGAGGTGATGTGGGATCATCTCATAGTAAGCATTAATGGCATATACCTTGTGAACAGAGCGTTTTGCTCTATAAACTCCTGGAAGTCCAGGCTTGTGGGGAACAATCAGATGTGTAAAACCTCCAGTAAGGCTCTTCCAACAAAGGAATTCTTTTTACATTGGTCTCTGTTAATTCTAGAACGGCTTCCTGAAGGAGATAGTACTTCCTGTCTTAATTCTTGCCCATAAAGGGTAGTAGCAGACAGTTCCTCTGTCTGAGCTCTTATTCCCTTGCAGCACTCTAGTTCAAGAGGGGTTTTTTTGGTCCCTTCCCCCTTGATGTTTTGGTGGCCAAAGTTATTGTGCACCTGCTTCTCCTTTAACATAAAATATGCTCTTTGATGACCCCAGTGGTGGCTGAAGATGTGCTGTGGCAGGAGGCTCTCTGAGGTGCTCCTTGTAGGTAGGAGACTCTTGCTATTCTTCCTGGAGAGCTGAGAGCAGGAGCACAAGCAGCAGCACTCGGAGCCGGGGTAAGGGCAGCGCAGGGAAGCAAAATGGACATGCGGAAGGATTTTGGCGGGACTGTTATCTGCTCTGCCTGATGCTGCTAAGCTCTGATTAAGGGACTGTGAAGTTAAAAAGATGCGTTGTGGCTGCAGCCAAATTAGGTATTAAATATTTCCAAGCATTTCAGAGTGTTCTGCTATAATAAATACCAGTGTGAGTTTTTGATTAATTTTCTGGATCAGAATTTTCAAGACTTCCATCTCTGGTTTCCAAAGTAAGTTCAGTTTTCATTTAACTGCGTGAAAATACTCACATAGCTTGTTTTGGATTAGCATTTAAACACTTCCCCCCCCAATTCTTCCACTTCAGAACGGACCTGTCACGCACTGTGTAGAGCAACAGTGGCACCCAGTGACTGTATAGGCTAATCACAGACCTAGCCAAAGAAATGGCAAGCTTTCAGTATCAATTCTTTCTTTAAATATGTGTGGAAACAGAATTTTACATTCCAAATCTGTCCTGGTTTTACATGCTTTTTCATTCCGGAAGATTAACTGCATCAATGGGAGTTGTTTTGCTAATTCTGTCAGATATTTTAAGTGTGCTCCACGCCCGAGTTCTTTATGCAGGTCCCTTTTCCAGGTGTCTGGCAGCTTCCGGATAGTCCTGCTCTTTGCTGTCTCCCTGTGCATTGTTCTTCCGTTGAGCCTCCAGAGGAACATGATGGCTTCCATACAGTCATTCAGTGCCATGGCTCTGATCTTTTACACTGTGTTCATGTTTGTGGTGAGTGTTGATGCTGGGAATATTCTTCTGTTTATTGGGCTAGCACACATGTGCACTGGCTTATACTGTGTGGACAGCCTGCAGGTGCAGGACTCAAGTTTAAAATGCTCTTCCTGGTAAATAGTGCTGATAGTGCATAATGACTAATCTAGGTGCCCATCCACTTGAGCTCATGAAGGTAAGAATATACAGACTGTAGAAACTGGACAGCGGGTCTGTCCACTGCTACAAATTCTACAAATCATGGTAACCAAATCAAATTGTGGCTTACGCTGCTTGTTGGTGTCTTATATGGTTTAGGGCTCAGAACTAGGGGAAAAGTACCTGGAAGCAGAGTGACTTTTATCTCCCCCTGCTCTTTTTTTTTTTTTTTTTCCTTCTCTCTTTAAAAGCCTCAGTGCTTCTGATCTTTATGGGAGGAGATGATTCTTGTAAGAACACATGGTTTGTGCTTTGCATGGCCTTTCAGGCAGTGAGCAGTTTTATTTCTCAGAAACCAGCACTTTTGTTTCTCATGCACTGAAAGCTTCATAAACTCTCAGATCTGGTGCATAGGATATATTTTTATGAAGAGTTTTGCTTTACTGAGATAGATGGATTCTTGACCGTTTAGATTAAACAGGATAAGCTGAGGGATATCCAAAGCTTTCTCTATTTGGCTTGGCCAACACTCATTGTATAGCACCGTTTTCTGAGAGGTGGAGACTTTTACTTGCCTTTTAATGACTTCAGTTTTCACCTCTTGGATGCTTGTACAGATTAGTCTTGGAGTCCCAGTCCTGTCTCCCCCGGACTTTGGGCCTAGGAGAGTGGAGACAAAAGGAAGAAGAAGGGGGAGCGGAAATTCTCTCTCCTTACCTTTGTTTATTTTGGTAGTAGGTTATACTGGGTCACACTTCTGAGCTTTCCTCTGCAATGAGGCTGGAAACTGTAAATGAGTGTATCTTACAAAACCACTGTGTTCCAGGAGCTGTGCCTTTAAGAAAACCACAACATTTCACGAGAGTTGGCTGCACTAAAACATAATCTCTAGGGATTAGAAAACCCCCATTCAGGCGATATTATAAACAGGCATTCAGACATATTTACCTTCTGTTTCCTGTGCAACCCAATGCCTGCCAGTTTCCCTGTCAATGGCGAAAGAGCTCTCCTAGCCCCATCTGGGTGCCTTGCTTTCACAAAGTTTATCCTTGTATTCAGTCCACTGATGTAGTTAAATGGTTCTGGAGTAGCAGTGTGCAGGTGGAGTCCTTTTTTAGGAACCTTTGTCTCTCTCCATTGAACAGGATTCTCCAAGGTGAACGTTGCTTCCCATTTGGTTTTAAAAACCGATTTTAAAAAGTGCAAAAAAAAAAAATTGCTGAGAACAATAATCTTCACAGTTAAATGTGTCAGGGGAAATTGTTCCACCCTGGTGAGTGCTATGATGTCTGATGGCATCAGACAAGGGGGAGTGCCATATATCTTTTAAAATACACCCTAGGATCCTTGGTGGCAAGGGACCTATTGAGATTGCTGGGAGCTTTATTAAAGTGTGTGGGTGTGTGTGGGTGGGGTGGGGAGTTGGGGAGTTGGACTAATAGAGATCAGGCTGTGATATGCAGTGTAAGCTGTTCCTCGCAGACCTGCCTCACATTGCCTTTTATCCCGGCACCGGTGCTTTTGCTTGCCGTGAGGTTGTTTTGAGTTGAATCTAACCCCTTTTATTTTTCTCGTCTACAGATTGTACTATCCTCTTTCAAGCATGGCCTCTTCAGTGGGCAGTGGCTGCAGCGAGTTAGCTACACTCGTTGGGAGGGCATTTTTCGCTGCATCCCCATCTTTGGCATGTCTTTTGCCTGTCAGTCGTAAGTACCTGCCATTATCGCTTCTGGCAGTTGTGGCGTGCAGTGAGTTTTTGTGAGGGCAGAGGGTCGCGAGGATCTGCGTGGGACAGATACCATCTGGTTTTCTATTTTATTTTAATCAAAATATTTTACAGCCCGCTGAAGTACAGCCTCAGTACAGTCTCATTCAGTTGTGACCCTTTTGTTACCTAGATGGAGGAGGGAGTTATATTTCACTTGGGAGTTGTTGTACTGGAGCGACATAAGATCATTTGGGCCAAACAGATCCTTAGCGTAACGCACATTGCTTCTGGTACAGCTGCACAAGTGATGAATTTCTCCCATTGCTTGAAGGGAATGATTTAGTACCAGGAAAGGCAGCGGGGCTGTGTTGCTCCTAATGGCCGCAAGGCCCCCTGCAGGGTAACGTACACGCGGCCGCAGCTTAGCTGAGAATACTCAGAAGAAGATTGCGAAGTTGTTGACTTTGGATAGGTGTTTGCATGCTTCCGGTTACCTGCTTTTAACAAGGGCTTCCTTTGGCGCGTGGTAGAACGTGATGGCAGAGCAGGCTATTTCCATGTTTCTAGCAGCATTACCTTCTCCACCAAAATGGCAAGTGAGTGATACGTGCCTGGCCAGAATAGTAACAGGCTTTAAATAGAACCGTAAATCCAAATATGGACACGGAAAAGACCGTCCTTGTTTGGAAGGCTGGCAGAGTCGGGCTTTCCCCCCTGTAGTTCTAGCAAACGGGTAGCATGCCAACAGTAAATGAATGTGACAGATAAAATTTGTTCAGACTGCTGTGTTTACACCCACACGCAAGATCCAAATAATCATTTTCCACTTATCGGCTCTCTTGGCAGCTTGGTTCCTACCCGAACGCACTCCAGTCTTGCTGTTTAATGTCTCCATTACAATTGGTGAAGGGAGTTATATTCTCTTACAGCTTTACCTTGTTAACATTTTAGAGTTTTTAAATTCCAAAATTTGCCTTTTTCTTTTGGTAGCCATACAGTACCCAGCACAATTTTGCTGGGAGTTGGAAATGCAGGGAAATCACTTGGCCTGGACCAGTGCGCACGTACCTAAATACAGACTCCATTACAGCACTTACGTGGCAAGCCAAACCTAAATCTGTGCATTTTTTCGCAAGCATCTGAGCAATATGCTGTCCCCAGCTCAGGCAATCTTTACAAGCATATTATTCTCAGCTAGGAAGACTTAATTTTGCTGACCTGTGAATCACCTTTTAAAAAATAAGTAATTCTGACATAAAACAAAAATCCTTTTCCTTCAGCATGTAGATGCAGCATACAGCGAGGACAAATAAATGCACTATTTTTCTCCTAGCTTGAAAATCTGATCCTGCTTTAGTTATGAGTTCAATACCCTTCACTCTTTGAAAGCTATCCTGTTGTTGCTGAACTTGCAAAATAGGTCGCTCCTCTACCCTTATGTAGCATGGACACTTGCTGTGGAGCTGAGAACTGGGACTGTGGGGACTGAAGGGTTACCTTTGTCACAGCCTTCCTTTGCATCCTTGGTCAAGTCACTGAACCCTCTGAGTAAAGTGAAGTGCGTAGGGCTTTCCAGGCTACTTTCTGGGGTTGGTTATTCTGGTGTAAGTGGATGCAACGCTGCTGGATTCACAGCAATAACAAAAGTCAGAATGCTGTTCATTGCCTCTGTGAATATCATTTCCCTGTGGGCTGAGGAAAGTCGATGTGTTCAGAGAAACACTGTGCAAGGTGGTCATTACAACGAATGTGAACAACTGGATGTTCTGAGATAGCTCTGGCCAGCTGTGTAGCAAGGCTATTTTTTCTAATTCTAGTCTTGGCACTTGTGCTGACTTGTCTACTTCCCTATTCAGGAATAGGGGGATGATTTAAATATCTGCTTTGCACGCTCTTTGAGGTGCTGTTATTAGAATACATACAGTGTAACAGATAACATGTGACACATTCATCGGGGAAAGATCCCTGATCCTTTGCTGGCCTTCAGCACGGTCCTTTCGCTTAAAAATAAACCCCGAGCACGTCAGGACATGCTGCCTGTTCTGTCTGCTTGTCCCCTTGCTCTGCCTTGAGAGCTTTTGACGGTCAGGAGGGCCCAGCGGCACATTGTCAGAGTCCGAGGGACTCTGCCGATCCTGCAAACCCAAGTCGACTAAATGGGTGCTGTTACGTGATCGCAGGAGGCCTGGGTGCAGCTGGACTTCATGTGGCACTTTTCCCCATGTCACCGGATTGCTGTTGCTCCTGCAAAAACGTAAACCTGGCCTTATCGGCTGTGTCATTCCATGCGCTGCGGGGCCTTGCTGACCTCTCTTGTTTCGCCTCTTTCTTCTCCTCCCTGGGCCTGTATGTTTGGCTGGCCTCCCCCTCCTCGTCAGTTAATCTAGCAGAGGTCGCTGTATGGAGGGCACGGAGGAAGCTGAAATTGAGACTCCTTGGGAAGCTGCTCTCTTCGGTCCTTGCCAGTAAATGGCTGTCGCAGTGCTGCATTCACAGGCCCTGCATGTATCTCATTGGTTACTTTAAGCTGATGCTCAGCTTCCTTTGTGCAGAACCGTTTGACGTTAAGGGATTAAGGGTTAAGGATTTTTTCTGCGTGGCCTCAGCTTGACACACTTTCTGTTAATGGCTTTTTGCCCACTGGAGCTGGGGATACCCCCTTCCCTGCTAGCTGGATGCTCTCCCGCCCCCC